TTGAAGCGGTTAGGGTCCATGTTGACCCATGCATCTCTGTCCGCCGGCACATTAAGGTTGACCGGCGGGTCGCCCTGCGCGGGCCTAGCTGCAGCGGCCGCCGCCGCCGCCATGGCAACCGCGCTCCGCTACCATGCAAAACCCCGAGGAGGGTTCTGCACGGGAGCTCGGTGACAGCGATGACGATCGGTCACCTTTTTACCTTAGCACGGCGAAGCAAGTCTCGGTAGCTTCAGCTGTTAAATACTTGAGCCAAATGGTAACGGGGACACCTTCACTCCCCAGTCACCTGAACGCTCACATGTTAACACCGCCTCCTCCTCCTCCTCCTCCTCCTCCTCCTCCTCCTGCTCTCCTGTTCCTCCTGCTCCTCCCCCTCCGCCTCCGCCTCCGCCTCCGCCTCCTCCTCCTCCTCCTCCTCCTCCTCCTCCTCCTGCTCATCCTCCCCTTGTTTGGGGTGGATTTGATGGGAAACCATTTCCCCTCTTAATTTTCTGCCCCCCACCCCCCATCGTTAGCCCTACCTCGGGAAAGGGAGGGGGGCAACGAAGAGCGGGGGAGGGAGGAAGAGGGAAGGACCCGCCGTGCAGAGGCCGTGCAAGGGGCAGAGGCCGGGCCACTCGGACGCCCCGGTCTGTCGGTTGGCCAGTCCTCTGGCAGGGGAGACTTCTGAAGCTGCCCTGAGCCACGGGTCTCCCCCTCGTCGCGCCGAACTGGGATCGATGATGGACCTGTTTTGAGGAGGAGGAGGAGGAGGAGGAGGAGGAGGAGGAGGAGGAGGAGGAGGAGGAGAGAGGGGAGAGGGGAGGAGGAGGAGGAGGAGGAGGAGGAGGAGGAGGAGTAGGAGGAGGATGACCCCCTCCCCCTCCAATTTATGGCGGTGGTGGTGGTGGAAAACAGGCCCATCAATTGAGGCGCCTCCAGAGGAGTGCCGCCTGTTCTCGCGCACCGTCCCGCACCCGTCCCCGTGCCCTGCGCACGGCCTGCCTCCACAGGCCTCGCGCCCTCGCTCGGGCGTGCCCTGCCCCGTGCTGCTTGCCGACACTCGTCCGCGCGCGCGGTGCTGCAAGATGGTCCAGGGCGCTCCTCGGTGGTCCTCGAGGAGGAGGAGGAGGAGGAGGAGGAGGAGGAGGAGGAGGAGGAGGAGAGAAGTGAAAACCTCCGAGCGATGCCGAAGCACGGGCACGCTCCAAGCCGCTGCGGAGCGGAACAGGGGGGGGGCAGGGAAGGGGGCAGAGCGGCGGCAGGCGAGACGGGAGGAGAGGGGGCCTGGCGAGGTGGAGCAGGGGAGGTGGGAAGGTGGAGGCTTCGGGGGGGAGGGGAGCGGGGAAGATGCCGGGGTGAATGAGGGGGAGAGAGGGAGCGAGGAAAGAAAGAAAGGAGGTAGGGTGGAAGATGGGGGAGAGACGGAAGAGTGAGCGGGGGAAATCATTTCCCATCAGATGCACCCAACAAAAAGAAGAGGAGGAGGAAGGGAGGAGGAGGACGAGGAGGAGAAGGAAGAAGAATAGAGGAACAAGATAGAGAATAGAAAACGGAAGCGGCGCGGAAGCGACCAGTCTGCCAGGGCGCCTGCGGTGCACTAGGCCAGAGGGTCCAAGCGACAAGCGAGGGGGGGAAGGGGAGAAAAGAAGAGGGTGCAGGAGACGAGCCTGGGAAACGCTGGCAAGCGCGGAGATGGAACCTGGAGGAGGTATGAGAGAAGGGCGGGGCGTCGAACGGGGAATGGGGATTGGGATGCGGGGGGAGAGGGGGCGAGCATGGTTCCATCTGCGCTCGGCAAAACCGCTGTCACGGGCCGATCCGCGCCGTCTTCGGCCTCGTGGGCGATGACAGGGCACAATGGCGGGGGCGCGCACTATTTGTGCGGTGGGCCCTGGGAGTGACGGCGCGAACCCCCGTGTCTCGCTCGGTTTCTGCAGCCATCGTGCTTGAACGCCTTTTAGATGGGGTCCGAGTAGATGGGGTCGGAGGATCCCGCCACATCGCCGATGCATTGGCGATGCGCCAGCGTTGTGGATGCCATGACAATGGACACCCTCACAATCCTAGAATTGAATTGAACATGTGTTTAACATGTCGGAAATGTTTAAGACATGTGTTCTACATGTGTAAGACATGTTTTAAAACATGTTTCAAACATCTGGGAATTATTTGGCATCATGCTTCCTCTCCATTGATCGTCGTCCACAACACCAGCGCCGCCGGCGGTGCGTCGACGTCGTCGGCGTAGAGAAAATCGGGTTCCGCATCGAGACGCACCCTCTGACCCCATCTACTCCGACCCCATCCGGGAGGCCTGAGAGTGGTGCAATTCGGCGGTGGGCAAACCTCCCTTTCGTAAACCACCCTTTAGTGAAAACTGCCTGAGACCGAAACCGACGGACCTGGACCCGCACAAATTACGGCCGCGGCGCCCTCTCGCGAACCAGAGGAGGAGGAAGGAGGAGGAGGATAAGGAGGAGGAGGAGGAGGAGGAGGAGGAGGAGGAGGAGGAGGAGGGGGGGGATGAGGAGGAGGAGGAGGAGGAGGAGGAGGAGGAGGAGGAGGAGGAGGAGGGAAACGGCCAATTCGCTAATCGACGCGTCAGGGTAGGAGGTCCATCAGCCTCCGATACAGCAGGGGGCGCCGGAAGAGGAGCGAAGGGGCCTCTCCGGCCACGGCGGGCCGAGGCCACCACAGCCGAGAGATTCCACGACCTGTGCATCCAAGGAACGGCGCGGACCAGAGCTCCTCCTTTCGTGGAGCTCCTCCTCCTCCATCTCCAAGGCAGACAAGCCAGCCCCCGAGTAATCACCCCGACAAGCGAAGCCGTGTAGTACACGCACCCAAGGAAGGAATCGAACAAGGCAGGGCTGTTTGATGAACGCCCAGGGCCGCTTGGTAAACGCCAATTCTAGGGTCCGGGTAGTTTTTCCTCCCTTGATTTCGGTGGAAACTCACGGGGGCCTCCCGTACCATCTTGTCGGCTCTTGCGAATCGACGCTCGTAGTCGACGCAAAATCGACGCTACACCGACGCTAAATCTACGCTGCATCGGGGCTAAGTCGACACTAGATCGGCGCTACCTCATCGACTCCAGACGCTAATCGACGCGAGTCGACGCTGAAGACGGAAACAAGAGGGTATACCAGGCTCCCAGGATTTGCCACCGAACCTCCCGAGCCGAAAGCGGTCCTTATTTCCGGCGTCATGACTGCAGCGCGCGTGGCCAGGACAGCACACTCGGACAGCCGAGCTGCAAAGCGCTGCGGGGAGAACGCCGCCATCCGAGAGAGAGAGAGAGACAACAACAGAGAAGCAACATCAATAGCAAAAACACTACGCGCCAAAGAAGAGACGCAAGCACCGAGATCTCGAACCAACGCACCCCCGGCATGCGCGCGCGCCAGGGGCGCGTCTGCGGGCTCCACGGGGGAGCCCAACCCTTCGCAGCTGTGCGCAACGGAAGGCGCGACCCTCTTTTCGTGCTCTGCCTGCTGGCGGGAGGGGGAGAGGGATTCGGGGCAGCGGATAGAATTAGGTGGGGCATGCCCTCCTACAGGCGGAGTTTGGAAGGAACTAGAAAGGTCCCGAAGCATCAAAACATAATCAGAAGAAACAGAGATAATGAAAAAAACGTCCCCAGGCTAGTTGTTGACTATTTTTGAACATTCCTCCTGCAGAGGGACATGCCCGCAACACAACGCCAGCGGGTGGGGGAGGGGTCCGGGGCAGCGTGGACAGAAGGCCGCGGACCCCGTCGCGCGGAGGCGAGCTGAGCTTCTTTCCGCGCGCGGCCCATCTGGGGAGTGTGCCGCCGTGGGCCCCGCATCTCGACCCCTCACCCTTTGGGAAGGGACCTAAGTTAGGAGGGCAACAAAAACATTAGGGATCGGGAGACTTTTCTGCAGATGTATCGAAACAAACCGCCCAGAACTGTCATCCCTAATGCAAAGACGGGGACCTCAGTGAGGCCACGTCTTCACTGTGTTATCAGGGTCAGGGGTTCTTTTACTCTCGATGATATTAGGCGTGAAGCAAGCCGACAGGGAGGATGCGGACAAGAGGAGATGCAAGAGCACGCCAACGTCGGACGAGGCAGGAGCAGGAGAAAAGCAGCAGCAGCAGCAAGAGGGACGGCTTGGGCGAGAGAGAAGGGACAGTGTTTTACTCGGGCCGCGGGGCGAGGTGCAAAGAAGGGAAACGACTGAGGAGTTCCGCTGAGACACGCGCCGGTCATCCCGAGGGGTTTCCGACAACGCCCGATGGTCCCTGGCAGCGTCTAACAACGCGACAACATTGAAGAGGGCATCGGCTGCGAGCGAATTGAGGAGCAGCTCCCCCGACGCGTGTCGGTCACCCCTCGGCGGCGAGGGAGGGGGGGAGGTGAGAAGGAGCGAAGCCCTCCGGCCTTCTGATGAATTTTTGGTGTCGTCAGGGCTGAACCTAAGCGGTGCTTTTCGTCTTCGCTTTGCTCTCGTTCTCCCTCGCTGTTGTCTCGAATCCGCCTCTACCGCAAAACGAAGTCGAACCGAAAACGGCCCAGGAAATCACCAAACACACCGTCTATAGGCGGCGAGCGAGGGGGGGAAGTGAGAAGGGTAGGGCCTCCTCAAAGTCTCGGGAGTCCCCTGGCCTTCGGAAAGTTTTCTGAGCCTTCCCCGAAGACAGACAAAAACTTCTCAGAAGGCGCGAGGGCTTCTGAGAAATCCCGCCGCCTTCTGAGAAGGCCTTCTCCTTCTCACTTCCCTACGAGACCTATGTTGCATCACAGCAGCAATTCGGCCTCTGACTTTCGTCCTGGGTTCGGTTTAGTGAAGTGATGATTTTCGTGGTCCTTACGTGGGAAAAAACCATCACTTCACTAATCTGGGGCCCATGGGGCCTCCATAGGCCCTGGGGCCCAAGATTAGTGACGTGATGGTTTTCGGGCCTCGGATTCCCCCCCTCGCTCGCCGCTGAGTCTAGGTCCAGCCCTGGGCGTCGTCGGGGGAGGCGTGGGAATCTTCTCGGAGGCCCTACCGCTCCCTCGCGGGAGCCCCGGCACCGCTGGGAGAGTCCCACACGGCTGCACCGAGGATGCAGGAGCTGACACTCCGACCACCGCGACACCGGCGCATCCTTCCCTCGGGAGCGGGCGGGCGAGAACTGCAGCGGCCGCCTCCGCGGACCTGCAACCACGGCTCGCGCACTCTCGAACTCGATGACGCATCCGATGCACGTCCTCATACTTGAGGCGGCCAACTGCGTTTAGAATGAAGAGCAGAGACAGGCGCCCAGCAGCGAGGGTTTACTTCCAGAGTTTCCGGAGGGGTGCGATCCTCGTGAGTGGTGCGTCGAAGAAATGGGCGCAGTCCCGCATGCAGACGCGCCCGATGGGGCCGTAGGCGGAGAAGCCTATAGGGGCACGAGCCTCGTAAGAGGTGCGCCGAGATGGGCGTGGTCCCGCGTGCGGAAGCGTCCGCTGGTGCTGTAGATGGAGCCCCACAGAGAGCTGAGGCAGGGAGAGAAGAGGAGGGAGAGGAGGGAGGAAGGGGAGAAGCGGAGAAGACTCTGCATGTTCAAAACGAGGGCCCACTTCCACAGGAACGCTGGGAAACAGCATGTTAGTAGCAAGTAGAAATGTGTACATGTGCTGCTGGAAAAACATAACAACAACCACAACAACAGCAGCAACAACAACAACAACCACACCACCACCACCACCACCACCACCACCAACAACAACAACAACAACAACAGCAACAGCAACATCAACAGCAACAACAACAAGACACAACAACAACAGCAACAGCAACAGCAACAGCAACAACAACAACAACACCAACAACAATAACAACAACAAACAAAAAACGGCGGACGAGGAGGGAAGGACAGGAGGCACGAAGGGGAAGCAAGGGTAGGGAAGGGAGGGGAGGGCAGGAGGGAGGACGACGACGGCGACAGTGATGGCGACGGCGAAACGGCGGCGGCGGTGACGAGAAGGACGTGGATGAGGACACGGGCGAAGGCGAGGAGGTTGAGGTGGCGGGAGGAGAGACCAGCGGGGAAGGAGACGGGAGGCGGAGTCGGACGGGGGGCGAGGAAGGGGGAGGCGCGAAGAGCAAGAAACCTTGCCACCCGACCGATCCGAGGCTAAGACGAGGAATGGGTGAGAACAGCATCGGACGAAGACAAATCGCCAATGAGGAAAGTGTGTCTGGCGCCGCGACCATCCCGGAGCGCTCCAAAACGCCCTTTATATCACTCTTGAACGCTCTGGAGCAACTGGTCCTGATGCTAGTCCGATGATCGTGGGCGTTATGCGAGTCCGGTGATAACGGGCGGCCCGAAGAACATCTAACGACTCGCGACGACAACGGGCGTTCCGCGGGTGGCGCAACGCAGCGCCTCTCCGCCGTGCGGCTCTGGCACCACAAACTGTGGTGCCGGACGCGCTGCTGCAGTGCCGGGGGCGCACTGGCGGGGTGAAGAGTGACGTCATGGCGTTTGGGAAGGGGGGGAAGGGGGGGGGGCGCAACTCGCGTGATGGCCCCGAGGGTCGCAAAAACACTCCCCTGATCGCGCTCTCGCCCAAAAGTAGGACAACTCCCTGGCCGGGAGCTGTCACCCTCCCCTGGGCGACGGCGACCACCGCGACAATTGCGATGGCGGCTGTCTCGCTCTCAGTCGCAGTCGTCGCCGTCGCTCGCGCCGCCCCCTTGGGGTTCCCACGGGCCCGGGTCAATGCAAGGCCGGGCCCATCAGGCCTGGAGGAGGAGGAGGAGGAGGAGGAGGAGGAGGAGGAGGAGGAGAAGAAGGAGGAGGATGAGAAGAAGGAGGAGGAGGATGATGATGATGATGAGGAGGAGGAGGAGGAGGAGGAGGAGGAGGAGGAGGAGGAGGAACAGCAGGATCCTGCCTGCAGGGTCTTGCGCGCGTGCCCAGACCCATGCGCTCTTGACCCGGCGAGACCCTGCGCGAGCCGGCGCTTCGGCGGACTCCCGCTTGCGGTGGTCCCCGTTTCCAACAGCTCGGCCCTGTAGGACGACCAGTTTCCAGGCCCAGGCCCCGAACAAAAACGCGAAGCGCGAGCACCCTCTCTGTCCCCACGGGGGGGCCCAACACGCGCACCTGGCCGTCGCGGACGACGAAGTCGACGCCTTGGATGCCGTGCGTGTGGCGGGACAACACGTCCTGCGTCGGGCGCGCGCCACCATGGATTAGTGTTCCGTGGATATGATGCGTGGGCTCGGCGTCGTTTGACCGATCCTTCTCCTCGCTGGTTTTGGCCCCTCTGGCCGATTTCCGCCCCTACAACATGGGGATGCACATGGGCCGTCGCTTTTGGACTTCGAGGGGCGTTTTCCCAACTAGGGTGCTCACTGAGATCGTCTGGGTCGGGATGGGGATGGGGTGGGGGTTGGGGTCGGTTAAACGATACTGATGAGCGCCATATCCATGTATCGGGCGACGCCAGGGCCGCCTCATCTGGCGACAACTCGCGCCGATGTCGTATTGAAACGGGACCCGCCGCGAAACCACGCGCCTGGATCCACGTTGGCGTTCTGTCGACGAGGGAAATCTCCGCGGGCCACCAGCCCCGCCCCGTGCCCGCGGAGAGGGCTTGACTGCCAAAGGTTCCCCAAGTAAGGTCGGAATGGATGGGGTCGGAAAATCGCGCTGCGTAGTCGACGCATCGTCGACGCATCGGCGATGCATCGGCGACGTCGGCGACGCATCCGACAAGTTGGCGTGGAGGAAATTTGGGCCCGACATCGAGCCGCATCGTCGGTGTACCAGCGATGCGCGGCGCAATCCTCCGACATCATCTTTTCGGACCCCATCGGGGAGGCCTGCGCCTGCTCATCCTGAGCTGTTTGGTTGGCGGCCCCGGGGCCCGGAGGGGCCCTGGGAGGCCGCCAAAGGAAAGCGAGCGACACGAAAAACTACAGGGACCCGTTCCCCCAAGACCCCTTTTCCTTCATGCGTTCGCTCGCTGCGCGATACCCGCCGCGCTCAGCTTGGGACGCACGGCCAGCGCAGTGGACACACACGGAATTAGACGACGACGCGCGACGGGGAGACGGACCGCAGATCCCGTCGCAGGGCGGCGAGTGCGGGGAATGAGCTCCCGTGCCGCCCAGGGGGAGGACGCGGGCCCTGGCGGCCCCCCGGGCAGGAACGCCCAGGACCTTCGTTCGCACCGGTCGCACTCGTCTTGGTGAATCATCCTCGCCTCCCACGTTTACCAGCCCACGTCCCCCCTCTCGGAGAACCTGCGCCAGCTTCTTTGTGCCAGCCATTTCGCCTTCGTTGCGCGGCTTCCTGTCGAAAGGCCGGAACAACAATTTGTTTTCTCGCATTCGCACGCGCGTGATGGCCACGTTAACTGGGCATCAGACTGACGCCGCGTCCTCACTCAAGGTCCGCAATCGCAGCGCCCATGGTCCGCCCTTGCGCGGCGTGCGCCGTCAATGCCAACGACGGTGCGATCATGAACTGACTGCGCTTGACACTCAACACTGGATGCTTCCGAAACCCGCCCAAGGACCGTTGGCGCCTCTCCGATGGGAAGGTTGGACGCAACCCTGGGCTCCCAGCCTGGGAGGCGCCACTCCTGCGCATGAAAATCTACATAAGTACTCTGGGCAAATGCAACAACACCTGCTCTTCATCCCCAACAACCTCGTCCTTGTGCAGAACCCATCCATGAATCGTTGCTGTGTGCCCCCAAAGGGGCTTCTTTTTTTCCGACCGATCCAGGTGGTCCCCCAAAGCTACTGGCATTCTCTTCGCGAGAGGGCAGCCCCCACCGCGGCCCGCCTCGAACCCCTAATTATGAGGCCTCCCGTTCCCCCCCAACCCCAACCCCTTCCCCTCCCCCCCTCCCCCTCCCCTCCTCCTGTTCTTCCTCCCCTCCCCCCCACCCCCCCCTCTCTCCTCCTCCTCCTCCTCCTCCTCCTCCTCCTCCTTCCTCTCCTCCTCCTCCTCCTCCTCCTCCCCTCCATCCTTCTCCTCCTCCTTCCTCCTCCCCTCCTCCTCCTCCTCCTACTCCTCCTCCTCCTCCTCCTCCTCCTTCCTCCTCCTCCTCCTCCTCCTCCTCCTCCTCCTCTCCTCCTCCTCCTCCTCCTCCTCCTCCTCCTCCTCCTCCTCCTCCTCCTCCTCCTCCTCCTCCTCCTCCTCCTCCTCCTCCTCCTCCTCCTCCTCCTCCTCCTCCTCCTCTCTCCGCCTCCTCCTCCTCCTCCTCCTCCTCCTCCTCCTCCTCCTCCTCCTCCTCCTCCTCCTCTCCTCCTCCTCCTCCTCCTCCTCCTCCTCCCTTCCCCTGATCCTCCTCCCTCCTCCTCCTCCTCCTCCTCCTCCTCCCTCCCTCCCTCCTCCTGCTCCTCCTCCACAATTACACAATATGAAAATACTCTCCCACTTCCCCTGATGGCGTCCCGAAGATATCCGACACCCCCCCGCGTATTGTTGTTTTACACACCGGATTCCCGGGAAACGGGTTTTCGCTAGTGTTTATTTTCAAAATGCTGCTTTCGCCGAGGCGCCGGCCTCATTTTCGGGCCCCGCTCGTTCCGAATCGTGTTCCCGCTGCAGCGCTGGCCTCATTTCCGTGCTTCCGCTCGTTCCGAATCGTGCTCCCGCTGCAGCGGTGGCCTCATTTCCGCGCTTCCGCCCGTTTCGACTCGTGTTCCCGCTGCAGCGCTGGCCTCATTTCCCGTGCCATGCCACAGCGCACGCGCACACACGCACACACACACACACACACACACACCACCACCACCACCACCACCACCACCACCACCACCACCACCACCACCACCACCACCAGCACCACCAGCACCACCAGCACCACCAGCACCACCAGCACCACCAGCAC